GAAATCAATGTGGAAGCAAGCTGGGCATGGTGGCTCATGTCTTTAATCCCATCGTTCACGAAGTAAAAACAGGCAGATCTCTCTGAGCTCAAGGCCAGCCTGGTCTAGAGTTGTGTCACAGAAAGACTGTGTCAAACAAAAGGAAGAGAGGATGAAAAAGAAATCAATATGGAAAAATAGCTACACTTCTTTGGGACAGGGTCTCATGTAGCACAGGCTAGCCTTGAACTTGATACACAGCCAAGTTAACCTCAAACCCCTGATCCTTCAGTCACTGCTTCCCAAGTGCTGAGGTACTGGCTTTGGAACCATGCCTGACTCTTGTGTTTTGAGTCAAGGCCTCACACTTTAGCACAGACTGGCTTCAAGCTCAGCAAGGCAGCCCTCTCTGCCTTGGTCTCTCAAGTGCTAGGATTATAAGTGTGAGCCAATTTGTCTGGCTACCAACTCCAGCATTTAAAACAAGATACCAGAGAACATATTCTGATGAGAATATCTTCTGGGCTTTTTAAACTGTAGTTTTATTTATGTATTCTGTGTGTGCACGTGTGTGGACGTAACTGTGTCGTGGTGTACGTGTGATGGTTGGAAGACAACCTGCAGCCTCAGTTCTCTCTTTTCACCCTGTGGGTTATGGGAGTTGAATCAGGTCATCAGCTTAGTGGCAAGTGCCTACAGACCCCTCTTGCCAGTCTTTCTGTTTTTAAAATATCTATAAAATTTGGTAGATGGATAGTTTCTAGAACTACAAAAACTCAGAGGAAAGCATGCCAGTATTCTGAAATGGCCACACAACACCTGCTGTTCTGAGGAATGTTGGCTAATGTGGGGACTTGAGGGGACATCTTCCAAGCCTGTGCTCCCAGGAAAGCTGCCCTTTGCCTTCAGATACTCCAGAGCACCAAGAGTGACCCTGTGGTAAAGCGACATGTGACCTTGGGAAGTCCCCGACCTTCTTCCACACACCACCACTGAGGACACAACAGGACACCCCTCCCCCACCAGCTTTGCCCAGCAGCTCTTAAAAGAACAGATCTCTGCAATCTCACGGAGGGAGGCTATCAGATTTACAGGAGGGAGAAGACAGTTAAGGGGACAGAAAGCCCTTCTACACACGCGGGACATATTGAGAGTCGCTAGAAGGAAAGGAAAATGACACCTAGATAAATAGCTGATGCTGCATGATTTGAAAAATCCCAGATACTGGCCTTCACTTCTTTGTTTTTCATGAGAGGTTTTGGCTCAGAAGGTCCTGATCCCCTTTTACTCTCAACTCAAAACAGCTACAGTTCCCAAGGTTTAAGAAAACAAAACTAAGATTCAAAAGTCTGGGGTGACTTGAATAGGAAAGACTTTGGGCTGAAGTTCCCTTCCAGGCTTACCATCGTGCAGTTCTTCATGCCTCTCTCTATTGGAGGTAAGAATTCTAGGGTCACACAGAGAAGCATAGCACTTGCCTCCTATTAGGCCCTTTTCATGTGGCACTTAGGTCTTCCTTCTACTTACAGAAAGCTACATCTTTAACATGTAAGTTATCTAAAAGGAAAACAAACAAAGAAAAAAAAAAACAAAGCAAAATAACAATAAAAACGCAGGCAGTTAGACATACTTAAATTCCAATAAGGGCAGGAGAATTGCTGTGAATTTGGGACTAGCCTGGGCTGCATTCTGAGTTCCAGGTCCAGCAGCGCCATACAGCAAGACTCTGTCTCAAACAAACGAAACAAATGAAAAGGAAGAGAAGGGAAGGGAAGGATTAGCAGAGGCTAAGGCTTACATGCGCCTGTAGATCTGGGCCAGAGCAGGCACTTGTTCGCTGAGGCCACTCTCTTGAGAAGCCTGATTGCCCTCGGGTCACGCTGCTGCCTTTTTAAATGTTTTTCTTCTAACGCCTGTACTTGAATCTCCATCAAAATCTGAGAGTTTCTGAGACAGGGTCTTGCTATACAGCCCAGACTAGTTTTCAAAGTGTGGCAATGCTCTTGCTTCGGGCTCCTGAGTACTGGGATAGGCATGAGCCTCCATGCCCATCTAAAACCATTTTTTTTAGTAAACTCCAACTTTGCTTCAATAAATAAATAAAATTCTGAGGAGAAATGAGGGCATTGACACTTACCAGAGGTTTGCTGACATCAGGGAATTGCCACATCTCTATTTTCCATAATGGCAGTGTACAGTGTAATTAAATAAATATATATATGTAAAAGAATTCTTATCACTTAGAGATGAGGACTGGAACATTTAGAGATGAGATGATCTGATATCTGAGATGTGTTACAAAATACCTTCAGTGCTGCGGGGGAGGGTGGAGAATGAAATAACAGTGGCTACAGTTGGGAACTGTGGCCCTAGACAATAGGTATTTGTGGCTTTTCTAGACTATTTTTGTACATTTCTCAATTTCCCATAATAAAAAAGGAAACCACTCTAAAATCATTACTAGCATACTGTTTTATAATAAATACTTCTTAGCTTCTTGTCAAGAACTATAAACTCAACCAGCCAAGTTTGTAGCCATCTTACTCTAGACGATCATTCATCATGTATTATGTTCTTGGATAACATATTAACTTTGCAAAGTGACCGCGGGACAAGCTGCACTTCTGCCCAAAGTAGAGTAAGCGCTTAAATAATCACTGTAATTTTTTAGGCATCAGCAGCTTTTCTATTAAAATACCTTACAGAGCTTCCTTTTCATTTTAAGGAGACAATACTCTTAAAGACAGATACAGGGACCTGGGGTTGTGGCTCAGTGGTCGGCCACCTTTTGAGAATTTATGAAACTCTGGTTCAATCTCCAGCTCATGCTGGAGATACATATACAATATCAAAGTAACAGAAAGAAAAGACCATGCTTCCCCAGGTTATCTTAGCTGAACTTGTATTTATGTTGTTTTTATGAGACAGGATCTCATTATGTAGTTCCGGCTGACCTGGAACTTACTCTGTAGCCTAGGCTCCCTTAAACTCCTGCCTCACCTGAGCAAGATGCTAATGGTAGCTTAAGGATGCATACTTGTGGAAGGGAGTTTGAATTTTTCTATCTGGCTCTCCAATTTAGTCTTCTCTACAAGAGATGACATACTGTAAGGAAGCATTCCGAGAGACACGGCCTACAGTAAGCACAGGGCAGAGGGCGAGCTTCAGAAGATGGCACACAGAGCTCTTATTATACGTAAAACAAAAATTTCAAAATCAAGCTGGACGGTGATGGCACCCACATTTAATCCCAGCACTCGGGAGGTAGAGGTAGGTGGATCTCTGAGTTCGAGGCCAGCCTGGTCTACAGAGTAAGTTCCAGGACAACCAGGGCTACACAGAAAAACCTGTCTTGAGTCGCCCGCCATGCACCTCCCCCCCCCCCCAAAAAAAAAAAAAAACCCAACTAAATGAAACCAAGGGCTGGTGAATGGCTCAGTTGGTAAAGGTGACTGAGGCCAAGACTAATAGCTTAGGCTTCATACTCAGACCCCAAAGGGTTGAAGGACAGAACCAACTCCAGCAAGTTGTCATCTGACTTCCTACAGAAGCACCACAGCAGCTCTCTTTTCCTCTCTCTCTCTCTCTCTCTCTCTCTCTCTCTCTCGTTCAAAGCACTAAGGAGGCAGAGGCAGGAGGATTTACATAAATTCTAGGATAGTCAAAATCCTAGCCAAAAACAAACTAATGAAAAAACTAAAAACTAAAAAAAAAAAAAAAATTGTCAAAGTAGAGAAGGTGGCTTGGGTGATGGTCTATCCCATCTGGCTCTCATCTGGAGTGTGCTTCCCTCCCACCCACTGGGCTCCACTGGGAAACACGCTATGGGTGTTGCTGTGAACACATGTTTTTGCCAGGAACAGCCACTATGAAAGCCATAGTGCATGAGAAATTTCTTCTTAGCATTTAGGGCAGCGCTTCTCAACCTTCCTAATGCTCAGACCCTTTACCATTGTTCATGTTGTGGTGACCCCAACCATAACACTACTTTGTTGCTACTTTGTAAGTGTAATTTTGCTACTGTTACGAATCATAATGTAGTATCTGATAGGCAGGATATCTGATATCCACTCCCCGGGGGTTGAGACACACAGTTGAGAACCACTTATTAGAGTGTTGTGAACACATAAAATCATCTCCCCGATACACAGAAGACACTGGGGTTTCGCTTAGTGCCTTTCCTCTGGTGGGCTGAGGTGAAACCGCTGAGCCTCACACATGCTGAGCACACTCACTGTCCATCAGCCCTGCCTTCAGCCCAGGCAGTTTCTGCACTAGCTTAGCATCAGTGAAGCTCCTAGCGTACACAGAGATTAAACAAGCCTTAGTTTAAGAAGAGGAGTAAGGGGGGCTAAAGAGATGGCTCAGAGGTTAAGAGGCTGTTCGTCAAAAGGTCCTGAGTTCAATTCCTAGCAACCACATGGTGGCTCACAACCATCTATAATGAGATTTGGTGCTCTCTTCTTGCCAGTAGGCCCACATGCAGTCAGAATATTGTATAAATAATAAATAATAAAAAAGAAGGGCAGTAAGAAGTTCCCTGCTCAGCAGAGTCCTGAGACATTTCGTTCAGTACAAAGTTTCTTGAGGGACTTTACTGTCAGAGCCAAAAGGACTTCTATTATGCACTTTGAACCATTTATTTACCTATGCAACATGTAAGCACCACAAGGTACTATGTGGGCCTGCTTGACTGATGATATGAACCATTTAATTATTCATGTAATATGTGAGCACTATGATGTACTACTACTTGAGCTATTTATCTATTAATAGCCTGTCCTATCTTGAAATCAAATTTCACCCGAAAAAGTTTTCACATATGGAAATAGTAAACATGACATTTTCAAGCTCTGAATTCAGCTTTCTGATAGACAGTATCTCCGTTAACAACTAAAAAACAAAACAAAAATAAACTCTAAACTCAAAAAGCTGGGTGAGCTGCTTGCTGGGCTAGGGCTGACAGAGCTACGCTCCTGAAGGAAGGGCCCTAAGCAGATCATAGGTTCCTGGTGACCCACCTGAGGTGCCGGTGAGCTTCTCAAGCATTTCACCTTTTGTTTTGATTTTGCGGGTCCAGCCAGGATCCCCACTGCTGTCATGCCCCATCCTCCAAGTATGACATGACTGTTAAGGATGTCAATCGGAGCAGCTGTGATTACCTGTAAGACACCCTCACAAGATTGGGCCTGTTGACATTCCTTCACAGAAGGTGCTGCACGTAATTCCAGCCCAGCTGCACTTTTCTGGGGAAATGCAGGAGTGCGTAGGAGGTGGAAGGTTAGTGGTGCAGCTCTGAGAGGTGACAAACGGTAGCTGGAATGGGACTGTTCTACAGCGAGGCTCTTTTGGGAGTCATCTGTACTCCTATACACAGGCCCAATAAACTCACTCATTCTCCCAGCTGGGTTTGACGGAATTGTCCCTGGTGCCCTACCTGGGAAAACAGACATTTGTTTGTTTCCCTGGAAAAGCTAAAGAGCAACACTCTTGTTAGGCAAGCAGTCTGCTGCTGTGGTGCTTGGGAAGACGAGGCGGGAGTTTAAGGCTGGTTCAGGCTACAGAGTGAGACCTCGACTCAAAACTGCCTGGTGACATGGTGTACATCTGCAATCTCAACACCAGCAAGAGAGAATCGGGAGCTCAGGGTCGTCCTCAGCTACACAGTGAGCAGAAAACCTCTCATGCATGAGCCCCCATCGCTACCACACTCCCCACCAAAACTAAAAACCAGAGCACAACAATTTTCAATACTCCACTTCATTAGTGGAGAATCAGGGGCTTCGTCAGAGCCCCTGAGCTCTGGCCACTTCCATGCTTTATTTTTTTTCTGCAGGAGACTGAACTTCTAAGCCAGTACTGCGAAGCACACGCTCTCCCACTGACCGTCTCAGACAGCCTAACTTTGAATCATCCACAACTGGCAGCTCGAAGAAAAAGCTGTTTTTGTTTATGTTTGTGAAATGAGGGGAGACCATAAATGCATAGCTGGGGGGAATCTGTTACACAACCAAGTACCCCAGTTCCTTTGTCTGTGGATCAGCCTTCTGACTGCCTTGCAATCACCTCTGAGAAGTTCCAGGAAGCTTTGTGTAATCAAGTACTTGAAAGTCAAATAGTTACTAATTTAAAAATCCCTGGCACACCATATGCCTGTCATCCCAGCACTCAGGAGGCCAAGGTAGGGGGACGGCAAACTAAGTTTGCCTCTGATACATAGTGACACATTGTCTCAAAAAACAAAGTAAGGCTGAGGATGAAGCTCCTTGGTAACTGAAGCTCTGGGTTCTAACCCTGATTTAATAATAAACCAGGCATGGTGATTCACACCTACAGTCCCAGCATTCAGAAAGCAGCACTGGGACAATTAATTATATAGTTCAAGATCAGCTTAGGCTACATGAGATTCTGTCTATGAATGAACAAAGAAACAAATAGACAGACAGACAGACAGATAAATGTAATAGATAAGGCCACCTCTGTGCCCCTTTGCTTTTTTAAGACAGTCTTATGTAGCCCAGGCTGGTCTTGACCTCACTGTGCAGACAAGAATGACCTGGAACATCTGACCTTCCCGATTCTACCTCAAAAGTGACAGGATTACAGGTGTGTCCCATGGCAGCATGTTTTACTCGGTGCTGGGAATAAACCCAAGACTCTGTGTATGCTGGGCCAATACTTTGCCAACAGAGCCATTTTTATGTTCTCAGTTTGCTCTAAGCAGGAAACACCTGGTTGGCATCTATTCCTTGCCTCGTGGTCATGTGAGCAGTCCTTTCTCTTTTTTTCTTTGCAGTCCTGAATCAGGGCTTCGCTCATGTTAGGCAAGTGACTTGGCCCATTAACTGCTATCCTATTTTGACTGTCTAAAGCTCTCAACTGGACTGAAAAGCAATAAAATGAACTAATAAAACCCAGCCTTCAGACAAGTTTTATCAGCACTGCCTGTGACCTACTTTTAATGTCAGATGAGCAGAAAGTTCTCCAATAATGGAGTCCTGGAGAGTGCAGTCCTTGTTCCATGGAAGCCAGGCTTTTCAGCTGCCTTTAGCTGATATAGAATGGACAAACAATAGCAGAGCTCCTGAGGAGGAGGCTAACTGGCAGGTGGACAGGCTATCTCTGGACACATCATCAAGGTAAACCCTCCAGCAACAGCTACTGGCTCCTGCGATCTGGCACAGGGACAAACAAGTCCTAGTGAAAGATGCTGGCATTCAGTGGGCATTTGATAGGCCCTTGTTAACTGAGCCCAACACAAGAGTCCAACTCAAGAGCTGTGTTTCAGAAATGCTGGCCATGGAGACCGGTTAGAGAGAAAGGAAGGGCTCAGCCTAGCGGTGATCTAGGCCAGGCGGAAGGATTGGAAGAGCTGCAAAAACCCAGCCTGAGGTGATCTATAGTAGGACAATTGGCAGTGCTGTCACCAGTAGACATCCAGAGCAGCAGGACTGAGGACAGAGTGTTGCCAAGAGAATAACTCTGACTGTCCAAAGCTGAGAGTCTCATGTTCACAGATCTTGGAGTAGGTCCCAGGCTCAGCCAATGAAAGCACAAGATGCTCAGTTACACCTGAATTTCAGATAAACATTAGGTAAAGACTGAGGATGTAGCTCAGTGGCAGAGCCCTTGCCTAGCCTATGCAGGGTCCTGAATTCTACACTCAGGACTGAAAAGCAGAGCATTTTTTCTCCCCTAAACCAACAGTTTAGTTTCTTATAAGTAGTCCTGAACAGTGAGTGAGGCGCACCGAAACGAAAACTTTATTTTGTGTTTACCTGAACCTTAATTCAACTGGGCACCCTATGCTTAATCTGACAATCTTAAAAGGAAGAAGAAAGACAGGAAATCATAGCCATCCTCACTCTATGCAGGTTTATAGACTGTTATACACTATGCTAAAGGAAGTTAGATGTGGACAATAGAAAATGTTCGTCTTTTTCAAGATAGGGTCTCATGCAACTCAGGCTAATCTCAGACTTCCTATATAAGGAGGCCAGCCTTGAACTCCTGATCCTCCTGTTGGGGGACACTGGGATTATAGGTGGATGTCACCACACTTAACTTCTTTTTTGTTTTGTTTTTTGAGACAGGGTTTCTCTGTGTAACAGTCCTGGCTGTCCTGCAACCCGATTTGTAGACCACGCTGGCCTCAAATTCACAGAGATGCGTCTGCCTCTGCCTTCTGAGTGCTGGGATTTTTCCTCTGTACCTGCCGGTGCGATTTCTCGCTGTGGTGGTTTAGGGGGTGTGGCAGAGGCTTGACTGATGGGTTTCATCCACGACGGGTGGCTTTCCTGGTCCTGGTCCCAAGTACTGGGATTATGAGTGTGCACCACCAAGCCTAGCCTCCATTTTCGCCTTTTTAAGACAGGATTTTGTTATGTGCCTAGGTTAGCTTCAAACTGTTGATTCTCCTGCCTCAGCTTTTCTGAGCATTAGGATTGGTATTGTCATTCCCAGCAAGAATGTACCTCTTCTCTTGGTGGGGTGTGGTGGCACATGCCTTTAATTCCAGTAATCAGGAGGCAGAGGTGGGCAGAGCTCTGTGAGTTAGAGGCCAGCCTGGTCTACAAAGTGAGTCCAGG